ATCCTAAATCACCCCTTCTCTCCAACCCTTAGAGGTTTCATTCCTTACCTACACATGTTGACCAACGTCAAATTCCCTAAAATTGGAATGTGTATCACCATCTTGATTTTGTTTATCATTGGCTTTATCAATCTTCTTTCCCACCTCTGGTCTAGCCCAGTCTAAGTTCTTATTTGACGACCGAACATAATCTTCCGAACTATGTTTTCCCAGCCTATACGATGCTACCGTTTGAGTTATCGCCTCTTGCGGGTCATCAATTGATTCTCGACTGGCATAATACCTCCATTTTAAGGTTCGAATGGTTCGTTTCGCCTGCCCATTTGTCTTCGGGTGGGCGTTGAGCGAATGTGGCAAATGTTGTTTTCTTCACAAAATCGCTTAAATTCTATTGAAATGAATTGAGGTCCATTATCCGTTACAATGCTTTTAGGTACCCCAAAGGTAGCAAACCACTTCTTTAATCTCGTTATCATCTCCTTCGCCGATGTGTTTCTTATCAGGTCTACCTCAGCCCATTTTGAATATAAATCTACTCCCACTAGCCAATATAGAGAGTCAACCGGTCCCGCGAAATCTAGATGTATACGTTCCCACGGCTCTTTGGTACAATTCCATGAGTATAGTGGTAACTCCATTACGTTCGGTCGATTTTTCTGACATCCAATACACAGATTTATATACCGTTCTATGTCCTCTTCGCATTTCGGTCAACAACAATACAACCGAAAAATAGATTTCATCGCGTTCATTCCCGGCTGTCCCCGATGTAGTGTTTCCAACACTAAATTCCTAAGCTTCGTAGGGATTAATAATCTACCATTTCGTTCAACTATTCCCCTGTCTACTGTTAATTCCTCTCGTTGAGTGTGAAAGATTACTAGCTCCGGTTCTTCTTTCCGATTAAAGCCTCTCCACCCTTGCTAAATATGTTGTGCCACTCGCTTTAGTATTGGATCTTTAATTGAATTCTTGCGCAGGTTTCCCTCTGAGACCTGCATATCCTCTAAGTTTACGTTCCGAATCGCCAATGCATGCTTGGTATCCCGATTAGGTATGATATCGTGGAGCGGTAGCCAAGATAAGGCGTCTGCTATAACATTTTCCCTACCAGATCTATATTCCACGCTAAAGTAGGAGGCGGCCATCTTCCAGGCCCAACGTGTCAGACGATTGTTCGATATCTTTGGCAGATCCCTTTTTCCCCCGAACAACCGTTCCAAGGGTTTATGGTCTGTCCGAAGTATAAATTTTCGACTGTATATAAAGTTGTGGAATTTTTCTATATCAAATAACAATGCCTTCGCTTCTTTATCGATAGGCGCATAATGTTTCTCCGAACTGTAACAACGTCCGAGACGCTAATGCTATGGGGTTTTTCCCGTTTTGTGAAACCTTATGAAGTAAAACAGCCGCCAGTCCTGTATCTGACGCGTCACACTCCATAATCAACGGTTATTTAGCATTATACGTTGTTAAGGTTTCTTCTGTTGATAACAATGTTTTAACTTTATCGAAAGCCTCCTGCTCTACATTAGTCCAGCACCATGGTACTTTTACACTCAATCGATGTAACACAGCTGCTTCACTATGAAGATTGGGAATGAACCGTTCATGATACATGACAAACCCAAGAAATGAACGTAACTGATGAACATTTTTGGGGTTAGGTGCGGTCTGGATTGCTTTAACTTTCTCTTCGCTTGGATGTACCCCATTTTGGTCGATAACGATACCTAAAAACGAAACAGATTTCCGTAGAAATTGAACTTTTTCAAATTTAGCTTTGAGGCCTGCTTCCTGCAGCCTATCGAGTACTATTTTTAAATTAGCCAGATGTTCAGCGTCATTTTTGCCGGAGATATTTACATCGTCCAAATACACTCCAGTCATCGGGCAATCTTTCAAAACATTGTCCATGTAATGCTGGAAAATAGTTGATGCGCACGAAAGCCCAAACGGCATCCTTCGGTATCGAAAATATCCTTTATGTGTTGAGATGACCAAATATTCTTGGGTCTCTGGCTCAACGGCCATTTGTAGATACGCGTCCTTTAAATCTATCATCGTAAAACGGTTCCTCCCTTGAATCACCAATAAGCCATCCAGCGTAGGAATAACGTGATGATCATATAATAGATGGGGATTTAAACTCACCTTGAAATCTGCGCAAATACGAATCTTGCCATTGTTTTTCCTGACATTTATTGTTGGGGTTGCCCATGGCACCCTAGATATGGAGGAATTGATGGGCTCCAAAATCTCCGCAGCCACAAGGCGATCAAGTTCTAGTTCAACCGCTCTGCGTAATGGAAATGGCACTCGACGAGCTGGAAACGATTTTGGAACAGCCGTATCTTTTAATTGAAGTCGCACAGCGAAATTACGTATCAACCCCGATTTGCCGTCAAAAACAGCTTTAAACTGTTTAGCTAACAAATGCCCCATTACGTCTTCCGTTAGTGACATCCTCGATTGTATTCGAGCATCGTTGGTTTGGTGGCAACTTGAAGTTATTGTTTTTCTATTCGTTTTGAGAACCTGTTGTATGTTTACCTGTCTCGGTAACTCATGGCAACCCAAACAGAGGTAGGTCATATAACTTTATTATAATAACTGATAAATTGCGAATTTCCTTTCCCACTTGCACACGAACCATGGCTTCACCCATAAGATCCAAAGGCTTATCTCCATAGGCTGCTAATGGGTTTGTGAAAGATGTTAGTGGTTTGCCAATTCTCCCAAATATTTAATCCTATAATAGAGGCTTGTGCTCCTGTATCATAATCAAAAGTGACACTAAGTCCATTTATTTTGGCTGTGATCTTTGCCATTTTATTTAATCCCCTTGTCCAGAGATTATTAATTGAATCACTTGAGTGAAAATGTGGTTTCACTGAGTATAAATTGCGATATACTACGGCAACATGCTGCGAAATGTCCAGTTCTTTGGCACTTAAAACATGTTTTGTCTTTAGCTGGGCATAAATATCTTTCATGCCAGCCGGCACAATTCTTACAATTATTATCTTAAAACTTGTTATCAGGCTTCCTATAATTAATGTCTCTCTTAACACACTCTTGTGAAATAGGCATTTTATGTTTGCAATCTTGACCAAGTCTTTCTTGATAGTCATTTCGTTTTGAGCATTTTCTGTTGCCGTGGCCATATCTAGCACGAACTGGAACGTCAGGGACATTTTGTTCACATCAAATGCTAAAGGATATTTAGTCTTAAGTTGAACTTCGAGACCTGGTAGATCTATACCCGCAACTAATTGATCTCTTAACCGGCCGTCAACTTCTGACTGCGCTAAACAACACGCTTTCGCAGTTATTTTGATTCTATTAGCGAACTCTCCAATTGGTTCATTCTCATTCCTAATTAACCTTATTAAGTCTAATCTACTACCGAAAATGGTTTTATTCTCCTCAAAAATATGTAGCGAGACACTCCTTATCTTATCAAATTTAGTTGTTAGAATGGTTTCAGGAAATAAATATTGTTCGAGAATATCAATGCCCTCAGCGCCAAAACTCACCATGAACAAATCCTTATTTTCTTGATCGGTCGGTGTCCAGTTCTTTAATCTTAACGTTGCGTCCCAAAATTGGAACCAACGTTGTATAGACCCATTAATTTGATATTTTTCTAACTTATCAATTATACTAGTATTTTTGGACTGAGGCATAATTTATAAAATTAATAACTATTTTCTTCTTGTTTTAATTAGAATATTAGAATCCACGTCGTCGCCACTTTAACGAGAGTAGAACCATTATTTATATTTATTTAATTCTATAACTCATTTACAATAGGCATCAGTTTTCATTGACATTTTATTCAGTATAATTAAACATAAGGTGCAACTTAATTACAAATGGCGATATATAATTACACGTTAATAGATTGATGTGTACATAATACATTAGGAAGTTAAACAACACCTATTATATTAATCATAAATATATATATATATAATCATATCTAACTGGCAAATATAACATATAATATGATAAAATATTACAATAGATTACTTCTTTACTACAATTATTGCAGATTTTCAAATGTTTATAATGACAAAAATATGTGGCTATTATCCATCCTGCATTCAAATTAAAATGGGAATAGATAAATAAAATATGGAATGAAAATACAAATAATTAATTTTTTAAGAAGCAAATTTCTAAAGCAAGAATAGATACGAGTACACTGGAATTTGGAAGATTTTTTTGGATTCCATGAAACTGATCATCGGGAAGATATTATATTGGACAAATTTTTTTATAATAACAAATTACTATTTTTGATATATTTTCTGAATTAAAAAATATTTATATAAAATACTATAACCCGCTTTTCTCTATTGCTCCTGATGAGTGCCTATTCAGTACTGCTAAACAGATTTAGGGGGGGGGCGCGGATGTTTGTTAGATTCAAATTCAAAAAATTTATTGTCTCTAAAAGCTGATAGAAGATTATAAATATTTTGATATAACATTTTATAAAAAATATTTTGGCAAAAAAATATGATTTAGTTTAGTGTTTTTATGACAAATAAAAATCAAAGAAGCGGCTATAAAAAGGCACTGCATTATTTGGAACAGGAGCTAGCTCCTTTCAAAAACTCAGTAGTAGGAGCAGGAGTTCCTTTTGAGAAGGTAGGAGCGGAAGCTGGCTACTTTTAAAAAGGAGCGAAACAAATATTGTTTATTATATTTCTCTAGACTACATCAGTTCTAAGTTAAAACCATGGTTTTATTTTAGAGCACAGGTCTAGGGTAAGTTCTCTGGTTTTATAATATTTAATATAATAAATTTAAATAATAATTTAAATTGATAAGTAATTTACCCTCCTCAAGTTTAGAATTAACTTGAAGATTATTATAGATAATCATAAAATTTAACAAATCTATTATTTCCAATTAAAAAACATTTTTAAAAATATTTAGGCACATCTTACAGAAAAAAAATCAAAATATATGTTAAATTTGACAATGATTGACCATAAATTACTTTTAGGTATTCTACATGTTTACCATTAAACGGCTGTAATTAACATTGTTGATACAATGAAATAAAAAATAAATGGATAAATTTGATCCCATGGATAAAGAGAGGTCTTATTTTTTTTTGTATATATATTTTTAGCCCATTATATTACAATTTTTATTTAAAATATATATGTTTAGCTTGTTCTTGCAATTATTACATAAATAATAAAATATTTCATTAAAATTTATCCTCTGCTACTTATCAAATATATATTTTTTTAATTAAGTTTAAATCTGATTATAATGCTTACAGAAATGTTTATGATTTATATATATATTTTATTCAAATATTGTTAATTTTAAAATGATAAATATCCATTTAAAAAACTTCAGGCTCTGTCTGTTAGGTAATTAAAATAATAACTTATTAATATATAGTCTTACTCAATATCATTGCTCTTTCATTGACATTATTTAGGTATAACTTTTTTATAACATGCATTGATTTTTTTTGGATAATTTATTTAAAAAATTTTTTTTTTATTATCATTCAATTTGGTATTATTTAGATATGTGTAAAGCCAATATTGTATTTTGTTAAAACTTATTTTCTCTTTGTACTTTTTGTTTAGCCAACCAATATTTAATCAAAAACATTATAAGCTAGCCAGCACCAAAATATATTTCTGCCTAACCCAGATCTAATAAAATTAGAATCAAGCTAACGTAACTTATATAACCATTTAATCTAAGGGTTAATTTATAATATTTTCTATACAATGCTCTTGCATAAACTAATTATTTAAAATAGTACATGATACTCATTTTTTTAAAAGTTAATTAGTGTTGTGTTTATATATTTATAAATTAAAGTCAGCACATAAAATAAAACGAAATATATAATTAATTATATAAAATATATTATAAAGTTATAGAATCATACAAATTTCATGGAAAGGAAATAATTACAGGTTTCTCCAAGTCAAATTAGACATTTTACATTCTATAAAATATAGACAAGAAAAAGAAAAATGTTATATACAAACATTCACAAATAAAAAGTTAAGGAATATGAAAATGCTATTATCAATGGATTAAAAAATAATGTAAAAACAGAATAGTTATAGAAGATATGAGGAGCCTTATAAAAATCTTCATTAAATATCAGTTGGAATTGAATAGCTCTCCTTCTTGTCCTAGTATTAAAAGCAGAGTTGTGCATTTGACCAGTCAAATAAGATTCAGTCAATTAACCAATATTTGTCTAATTCAAATGTATTTTAAGACAATACTAACTTATTGAATAACAATGAATTTAAAAAATATTATTAAATTAAATAGATTTATTTTACTATTATATACAAATTTGCTCTCTGTGGCAGTTTGATTCATGATTAGTATTAGCATTTTCTTAAATATTTTTTAATCAATTTTTCTGTTGTTGAGATCTTCAATGGATTTCTCTTTTTGTAGGAATATTAACCCAAATCAACCAATTTATTTCTGAAGAAGAAGAAATGATAATTTTTAGTTAAATGCCTATTCAACCCCAGGCAATCTAATTGTTTTTTATGGGAGCTACTTTTTTTCACATAATTTTCTATAAACTAACCACTTTTACTTCTGAAATTATGATATCACTTAAATATTTTGATCATTACCACTTTTTAAAATGCCTAATTCTTATATTATAATACATACTTCTTTAAATTCATTACTAGTAAGATGCTTCCCTTGATATTAGGGACAATAAATAAGCAGTATTGTGATCTCATGAATTTATCTCATTATATTTTTTTTTCAAAGATATTTTAAAAAATTTTTTCTTCAATTATTTTAGGGCATGACTAAAATACGTGCCCTTTTAGGGCATGACTAAAATACGCGTCCCCGAAAACTACGCGTCCCCGGTCAAACGGGTTTAATTTATATAATATTAATAAAAAATCTTATTTAGCTTTATAAGATGAGTTAAAAAATGTTTTTTATGATTTAAAAAAAAATGATAACAGTAAATTTTTTAAAAAATGATTTTTTTACATCAAAAAACTACGCGTCCCCGGTCAAGATACATTTTAAAAAATAAAAGCAGATTCATATTTAGCTCATTAAATGAATATAGAAAATGTTTTTTATGATTTAAAAAAAATTATAACTTAGTAAAATTTTTAAAAAATTATTTTTTTAAATTAAAAACTACGCGTCCCCGGTCAAGATATATTTTTTTTTTAAAAATAAAAGCAGATTCATATTTAGCTCATTAAATGGATATAGAAAATGTTTTGATTTAAAAAAAAAGTGGTTAGTAAAATTTTTAAAATACTAATTTTTTACATAAAAAAACTACGCGTCCCCGGTCAAGATACATTTTTTTTAAAAAAATAAAAGCAGATTCATATTTAGCTCATTAAATGGATACAGAAAATGTTTTTTTTGATTTAAAAAAAAGTGGTAACTTAGTAAAATTTTGTAAAAACACTTTTTTCTTCATTTTTTACTAAAATACGCGTCCCTACGCGTCCCCGGTCAAGATAGATTATTTTTATAAATATGAATTTAGAATCGTGTATAGTTTTTCAAGGAGATTTTCGAAAATGGTATTTATAATTTTTTTTTTTTAAAAATTATTTTTCGAAAAATTTTTTTGACTAAACTACGCGTCCCCGGTCAAGATACATTTTTTTAAAAAAAATAAAAGCAGATTCATATTTAGCTCATTAAATGGATACAGAAAATGTTTTTTTTTATTTAAAAAAAAATAAAAAAAAGTGGCAACTTAATAAAATTTAAAAAAAGGGACTTTTTGATGTAAAAAAATAATTTTTTAAAAAATTTACTAAGTTATCATTTTTTTTAAAATCATAAAAAACATTTTTTAACTCATCTTATAAAGCTAAATAAGATTTTTTTATTAATATTATATAAATTAAACCCGTTTGACCGGGGACGCGTAGGGACGCGTAGTTTTCGGGGACGCGTATTTTAGTCATGCCCGTTATTTTAGAGTATTTGACCGGTCTAATACTCCCTCCGGTCAATTAACCGACTTGCCAACCCTGGTTAAAAGGAATGATCGATCCCGCCGAAATTATTCGATATTTATTATTCTTGGAATTTTTCCAATTATTACTATTTTTTATCATTTTGAAAATTGTGCAAGAGGACTAAGATTAGTCTGAAATTAATTTTATGTATAATTCTATTATTTTTTTTTGAAACTTAATTTATTAATTATATATCCGAAATTGCTTAATAATTTTATTTTAAACGCAGTATTTTTTTTTAAATCGCCACCAAAATGGCTAACAACTCTTTTAATATTTTTATAAGAAATCGGGATTATCAAAAAAAAAATTTAAAAACCCTAGTCGGAGAGAGACCGAATTCTAAAATTATCAAAAAAGACCAATTTTTTCTTAATTATAAAACTTGAAAAATAATGCCCACCACCTTGATCAAGTTTAAATAGTCTTTAAATTCAAATTCCGTGTCTGATTCGATGCCTTTGAAGGGCATAAAGTTTCCATTCAAACATAGTTTCTGTTCTATCTCAAATCGGATTTTACATTTTGACGCTTTTCGCAGTTTTGTTATTTATAAGGCCTTTTTTTGAATTTAAGATATATTTTCCACATTGATATCACATTAGAGGAAACAACTTTTGATTTATTAATCAATTTATGACTAGTATCTAGGGTATTATGTTAGATAAATACGCTAAAATTTCTAATCAATTTCTAAAGATAATTGACAGCTGTGTCTGTTTAACTATAATTTTTTAAAAATCCAAAAAGCTGTTTAAAATTATTGTATAAACAAATTGTAAATATTTTGCATTATTTTATTAATTTAAAAAAGTGAAAATATTTTAGTAACCCCCCACCCTCCTCCCCTTATAGATTTGATAAATATCTTAGATGAATATGATGTGTTCAAAATATACATTTTTAAGATATGATTCATTCAACTCTCTTATTTACTATAGCTTTATTTTATATAAATAAAAAAATTTGTTTTCCCAAACTTTTGAAACTTTATCGAAAAGAAGAAATATTTTTTAAAATATAAAATAAAAACATGCCCAAATATTTAATTATAATTTCAAAAACTTAACATACTATTTCATTAAAATTTTAAAACTTTCGAAAGTTTTAAATCCGAATTTTTTAAAATAGATTTTAGATATAGCTTTAGCTTAGAAAAGTAATTAATTATAAGTTGATATAATATTATTATAATAATAAATAAAAAGCACTTTTAAATGACGGCGTAATTTGAACCATAAATTACCGTTTCTTCAATGTGTTCAAATATTAGACAGATTTTACTGTATTCATTTTCATATTATTTTTTTTTTAAACATCAGGTTATCCATTTCCATCAGTAGATGTTGTTATTACCTCATTTTTAAAGTCATTTTTTATGGCATTCTATTGCTCAATTTATTAAAAAAGTGTAAAAATACACCGTGACCATATAAATTGCAGTAATGATCTGCCAAAATATTTAAACTTTATACCACTTTCGCTTCCCCTCGCTGAGTTAGAAATGCATTTATCATTTTTCCTATGAAAAATAATATGCATAAAAATCAAACATCCATGCAACTATTTTTCTTAAATTGGTTTATCTATGCCTCAAGCAAGATTTCTCATATAACATGGCAGAAAGGTTTAGCCTTCATTTGTTCGAATCTCGAATCTTGGGTAATATTTTTTTGTTATCTTGATTTTCGCCGGTTTTTAAAAAGCACCTAAATGTAGGTTTTCTTCACTACTCAAGACAAGGATATATAATAAGGTAGGATAAAACTGCTAATAAAATTTGTTTTAAATTAATATTAGGATGCTGATCCCAAAAAAATTAGCAATGTTTCGACTGTCCAATATTAATTATATATTTTCAAAATAAACAGATTTTATATCATTTTAGACCTTTCATCTAGATATTAAATTATATTGATTCCAAGATGTTAAAAGGATATTTTTTTTTTACTAACGTTAATAGACCGCTTCACTTCATAATTTATATGAATTCCTATTAGATGCTATTCTTTTCCTCCTAATATAACCCTTGAGTCACCAAAATCTTTTAAATTCCTACTGATACCAATTGCCAAAATTGCT